AGGATGAGATTACTCAAAATCTAAAATCCATTTTTTGCCTGTAGCTTTACCTTGAAGTCACCAAAATTTGTCTACCTTCTATGTGGGGAATTCAAAGGTGGTAAGTATCTGCATACTGTTTAAGTAGGTACATAAGGCCAAGTCTGCTACCTGCTTGCAAACAGTACAAATTGTAGTCCATGTCATGGCACAGTAAGTTAAACAACTGTGATGCTGGCATCCAATATGCATGCCTGTTTGTGCCCCAGCTGTTCTACTTCCAATCCAGCTCCTTGATAATGGCTTGTGAAAAGCAGCAAAAGTTGACTCAAACACTTGGGTCCCTGCACTCACGTGGGAGACTTAGATGAAGCTTCTCTAACAGCTCGTTTGTATTTACAAAATACTTGCTTGGGATATAATTTCAGAGGGAGTAAAAAAGCTAAGTCGAATGCAATAGTTTAAGTAATAGTTCTGCTACAACATTTAATACTAATTCAATGCTACTTATATCTCTGCTAAAAAGCCTGCTAAATCCTAGTGTATCAAAATTTAGGGCCCAGCATGGTAGCCTAGTGGCTAAACAGTCCTCGCCTTGAGCGCTCAGGGATCCCATGTGGGCAGCTGTTCTAGTCCCGGCAGCCCTGCTTCCCATTCAGCTCCCTGCTTGTGTCCTGGGAAAGCAGTTGAGGACAGCCCAAGGCCATGGGACCCTGCACTTGTGTGGGAGACCCAGAGGGAGCTCCAGGCTCCTGGCTTCGGATTGGCTCAGCTCTGGCCATTGCAGCCACTTGGGGAGTGAAGCATAGGACAGAGGATTTTCCTCTCTGTCTCTCCTCCTCTCTGTGTATCTGCCTTTCCAATAAAAATAAAATAAATCTTAAAAAAAAATCTAGTAGCAAACACAGAGAGACTGAACATGCAAATAGTCTTTCCTTTCAGAAGTGAGAAGTGGTAAAAATGAAGTGCATTCACTGGACTGAATGTTGAGAGGGAATCATGTCCCCGTGGGAGGTGGTTGGCGTTGTACACCCAGCCTGGCCTTTCTCAGGCTAGGTTTCAACACTGCTGGGCCTAGGCAGCCTCAGAGCCATGATCGAATCTGCTCAGAAACAAATCTCGAGGACTCACATTCTTTGGGCCTGGTCTACCACTGCTTACAAGGCAGTGATATCAGATTTAAGCATATATGCTGCCAGTTAATTTTTTTATAGTGAACACACACATTTTTTAATGCTGGAATTAGCTCAAGGATATAAAGAATTTCTCAATTAGCTCCTTGAACACTTTTAACTACCAATTTGAATAGCAGTCACTTGATGGCTCACCTGCAGGAGGCACAGTTGGCATAGGCTTCTGCTTTAAACTCACCATTTAGAGAACATCTCAACAAGAAAACCTCAACAAAATTTGGACAACTTATAATTACCCTAACAAATATTCCTGGGATCTCCGCAGTGCTAGAAAACGTTCCCTTTGGTTGTCATTATGGTCATGATGAGTGAAGACTTTCATTTATAGTTACTAAGCAATTAGTTGAGGTAGAATTTTGTAAGGCTTAGAAGCAATGGTTTAGCCAACTGGCAACCCTGTAAGATCACCATGTGATTTATGTAATCACCATGTGATTATGTTTTCATAATCTGCAACAGGATAAAATATAACATTTCAATGCAATGCAAATACTGTTAACACAAGGATCGAGCGTCACTCATTCATTTTTTTTAAAGATTTATTTACTTATTGGAAAGTCAGATATACAGAGAGGAGGAGAGACAGAGAGGAAAACCTTCCATCCGATGATTCACTCCCCAAGTGACCGCAACGGCCGATGCTATGCTGATCTGAAGCCAGGATCCAGGAACTTCTTCCGGGTCACCCACACGGGTGCAGGGTCCCAAAGCTTTGGGCTGTCCTCGACTGCTTTTCCAGGCCACAAGCAGGGAGCTGGACGGGAAGTGGAGCTGCAGGGATTAGAACTGGCGCCCATATGGGATCCTGGGCGGGTTCAAGGCGAGGACTTTAGCCGCTAGGCCACGCCGCCGGGCCCCCACTCATTCATTTTTAAAAGATGTATTTATTTATTTTTATTTGAAAGGCAGATTTATAGCAGAGAGAGAGAAGGAAAGACAGAGAGAGATCATCCATCTGCTGGTTAACTCCCTAAACGGCTGCAATGGCTAAAGCTGGGTTACTCTGAAGCCAGGAGCCAGGAGTTATTTCTGGGTCTCCCACATGGTTGCAGGAGCCTAAACACTTGGGTCATCTTCCTCTGCCTTCCCAAACCATTACCAGGGAATTGGATTGGAAATGTAGCAGCTGGGGCTTGAACTGGTGCCCATAGGGATGCTGGCTCCTCAAAGAGGCTTAACTTGTGTTGATCCCAATATTTATTTATTTTATTTGAAAGGCAGAGGGAGAGAGAGAGGGAGATGGACAGGCACACACACACACACACACACACGCAGAGAGAGAGGGGGGGGGCGGGCTGGGCTGGAGAAGTGTTTTCCATCCAGTGATTTACTTTCCAAGTAGCCAAAGTGGCTAGGGCTGGGTCAGGCCAAAGTCAGGAGCCTGGAAATCCATCTGGGTCTCCTACATGGGTTACAAGGGCCCAGTCACTTGGACCATTTTCTACTGCCTTCCTTGAACACTGGCAGAGAGTCAGACTGCAAGTAGAGCAGCTGGGCTTCAAACGGGCTCCCATACAGGATGTTGGTGTCACAGGCAGTAGATTAACTGAAAATGGGGCTGTTTCTCCTAGGGACTGAGAACAACAATAATAGCTAACTTTATTACTTTCTTTAATAAGAGGTGAAAAAGCCCTTTTCCTATTGATTCATACAACCCAAACTGTCCGTCCATGTGGGATGCAGCAGGATTGTCACGTGCAGAGGAGCAAACCACAACTCAACGAAGTAGCAGGTAATGTGCAAGAGCCTCTTAGAGCGCATGCTCACTGGTGTCCTTTCTAAAACTGGTGCTGCGTACAGGTGCACCCCTTTCACGTGTCCAGACTTCTCTGACACGCTGATTTCTGTTGGATCTTTGCCCCACGTGCTCCCTGTGCACTTGTCCGTAACCCCGTGGCTGCACTGTTCTTGGGGAAAGCCCGTGGAATGCATAGCAAAGCTGGAAAGCACTGGCTTCAGGTCATCATCCCATCTTACAAAGAGGCGTGAACTTGGACCTAACGCTGCCTTCGCATTGTTCGGGATCAAACAGATTTTCATGTCTGTATTTTGGTAAAGCAGCAGAAAGTTTGCCCAGTTCCCACAATGTGCCTTTAGAATGTTAGTGAAACACAAGGTGATGGCGCTCCTGGCACTCTTGAGAGCTGAATGAAGCCAGCAGAGCCCGGAGCCTGGAGGTTGCACTCTGGCCACTAGAGGCCAGCAAACCTCAGCCCAGAACTCCCGAGTTGAAGCATGCTTTTTCCACACCTGGTGTCTGCAGATTCAATAGCAGGAAAGTCACCCTGGAATGCATTTAGAACAGACATATGATTCCACTGTGTGCCTTCTGCCTTTCAGACTTTCCAGCAGTTCCCTGTAAGTCAGAGATAAACAAATTAAACAATTAAGGGAGGTGTGTCCTTGGGCTGTCTCTTGCGACCTTTCTGAAAGCCCTATGCTCTTTCTCCTATTTCATCCTAGTGCTTTACTTCCTTCCTTTGTCTGAGACACAAACAATGTTAAGTATTTTATTTCTTTCCTTCAGCAATTTAATTTCCTGAAAGCAGTGTCTCCTCCCCCACTTTTAGTGAGGCTATAGGGTGTTTCCTCTTGTTTTTCTATTGTTCTTTTTTTCCAGAATTTTTATTTTATTGCAAAAACACTTAGCGTGAGATGTGTCCTCTTAACAAACACTTAGGTGTAAGTTCAATGCTCACTCCCATCTTTCTTTTCTAGAAAAAATACACTTATGGTCCCGGTGTGCTAAATTAGTTGCTGATGTCCTTGCTTTGAATGCCCTGGGATCCCATATGGGCTCTGGTTCATGTCCCATCTGCTCCACTTCCCATCCGGCTCCCTGCTTGGGGCCTGAGAAAGCAGTCGAGGACAGTCCAAAGCCTTGGGACCCTGCACTCGTGTGGGAGGCCCAGAAAGAAGTTCCTGGATCCTGGCTTTGGATTGGTGCAGCACCAGCTGTTGCAGTCACTTGGGGAGTGAATGATCGGACAGAAGATCTTCCTTTCTGTCTCTCCTCCTCTCTGTACACCTGTCTTTCCAATAAAAAAAAAAACATAAATCTTAAAAAAAAACAACACAGGGAACTGAATGATGCTTGTAGGAGTTGGAGGTGGTGTAACGGAGAGCTGTTGGTGAAAGGATACATGCGTTAAGTCATAAGATGAAGTTCTGGGCGCTAACAGTATGCCTACTGGAGTTACGCTGTACTATATACTTGAAATTTTGTTTTATGTACTTGAAATTTGCTGAGACCTCATCTTCAGTGTTTTTACCACACATATTCTTTCTCACACACACAGACACACACACACACAGTAGGTAACTATGTTAGTTGATAAATGTGCTAATTAGCTTGGTTGTGGTAATCTTTTCATTGTGTGCACATATCAAATCATTGCGTTGTATACCTCAATAATTTTATATATATATTTTTTGAAAGATTTACTTATTTACTTGAAAGGCACTTACAGCGAAAAGAGAGAGAGAGAGGGAGGGAGAGAAAGAGAGAGAGGTATTTGATCCATTGGCTCACTCTCCAAACATTAGCAGGGGACTGGATCAGAAGTGGAACCCTCAGGTCTTGAAAGGACATTCGTATGGTATGTTGGTAGCAGTTTAACTTATGGTTCCGCAACAATGGTCTCAATACAGACTTTTTTTTTTTATTGGAAACCAATACAGCTGGAAAAAAGAGAATAATTAGAAGTAAGTTTAACAAAGAAAGTTTAAACTTACACTGTGGCAACACTACATTATTGAATGCTACTAAACATCTAAATAAATAGAAAGATATCTCATGTATATGTGTTGGAAGACAACAGTATGAAGATGGCAATGTGCCCTGAATTGATCTACCGATTACATGCAATACCTATCACAATCACTGGCAGCTGTTTTGCTGAAATTGGCAAACTGGTATTTGTATTTCATTCATGGGACCTAGAAGAGTAAAAACAATTTTGAAAAAGAAGGAACAATTTGAAGGACTCACATTTTCCAATTTCAAATCTTACAACAAAACTGCAATAATTAAGACAATGTGATACTGACATAAAGTTAGACATAGAGATCAACAGAACAGAATTGAACATTCCAGAAAGGAACTCTTGCATGGTAAACTGATTTTTTAGAGTGTCATGATAATTCATGGAGCAATTAATTGTCTTTTTTAAAAAATGGTGTTGGAACAACTGAACATCCTATACAAAACATTAATTTTTTACTCACAAAATACATGCAAAAACTCAAAATTGATCACAATTACCCAAAAATAAGAGCTGAAGCTATTAAAATCCAGTGAAAAAACATGGGTCAATTTTAGTGATCATGTTTTCTTAAATCTATGATTATAACATTAAAATAATAATGAAATAAGAATCATTAAAAGGAAAAAATTTTTCATTCAAAAAGACACCATAAAGAAAGGAAAAAGGCGATCCTGAAAAATTGGAGAAAATATTTGCAAATCAGAAACATTATTAAGGACTTGTAACTTAAATATATAAAGAGTCATGGACCAAAAAGTAAAAACAATCCAATTAAAATGTGCAAAGAACGTGAATACACATTTCTCCAAAGATGATATACAAATACGCATTAAACACTGGAAAATAATTATTCTGTAATTAATTGTTCAAATAATACAAGGTGAAACCACAATGGAATGCCAATTCATGCATCTGAAAATTACTATCATAAAAAATGATTACAAAAATAAAACAACAATAGAAAGAGTTGTAAGTGTTCGGATGTAAAATAATCAGTTCTCATATAGTACTGGTGGTAACATATGTAGCAAGCAGTCTAGTAACTCTGTAAAAGGTTAAACATAGAGTTATCATATGACCCAGCAAGTCAATTCCTATGTAAAAACTCAAATGAAAATACATATCACACATAACATGTATGTAGATGTTCACAACTGCATTATTGATAGTAACAATACTGGGAACAACTAAATATTAATTGCTGAGTAGAGATAAATATTTGGCAATAAGGTAAACTGAATTATTCATGTATGATGTAACAGATGACACTTGAAAACAGCATGTTAATGAAAGAAATCATTAAAAAAAACCCTCCCATATTTTTAAAAACATATTTTATTTTTATTTGAAAGACAGAGTTACAGAGACACGGGCTGGAGGTGAGGTGATCTGAAGCCAGGAGCCAGGAGCTTCTTCCTAGTCTTCCACATGAATGCAGGGGCCCAAGAACTTAAGCCATCCTCCTCTGCTTTCCTAGGCCATTAAGCAGAGAGCTAGGTCTGAAATGGAAAATCTGGAATACAAACTGGCACCTATATGGGATGCCAGTGCTTGCAAGCAGACAACTGGTCTACCCTGTACCTGTCCCAACACTCACATATTCTATTATTCCATATATGTTAAATGTCAACAATATGCAAATCTAAAAAGAGAAACAGTAGATTAGTTGTTTTCACAAGAGCTAAAGGGTATGGTGTGGGATGAATGAGTAATGATTGCTAACACAAGATTTGTTATGGATTGATGATATTTTTAAATTCATTGTGATGGTTGCAAAACTCTTTCGATAGGCTTAATGCCGCCTAACCTAATGGGTAAATTGTATAAACCATAAACTATATTTCACTAAAGTGGTAGTTTTCATGAATCTTCTACATTAGTACCAAGAGCTGACAAGCTAGAAGTGACAATGTATAAGAAAAAAAAATTTCCCTGATGAGAATTTTCAAATTCTCACATAGTCAAATCAAGAACAGTAAAGCAGGCACATGCTAGACTTAAAAGATACATATAGGCAGATGTAAGGGGTTTGCTCTTTGAAATACTAGGCATGAAAGGTTAGCCTTTCATATTTTCCCCAACCCATATATTACACTACTACAGGAACAAGTTGCTTTCTTGGCGATAGTTTAAAGCTGAATTTTAGCTGTTTAATTTCTAAAACTGATAAAAGCAAGGTTTTGGTCTGTGATTATTCAATTACACTTACATTGTAGTGAATGATTTTTTTTTTTGCTCTTATCAGTTACTTTACACAAAAGATTATCTTGGTTGTATTTACTTTTGCAAGTCTGTATACAAATACCAATTTCACTATCCATGCTAGATGTACTCGATTGAGTAATAAAATACGAGCTTTCTGGATCTTTCAGTAAGGTCAAATTGCATTTTCCATGTAGGTGAACTTTAAATTTAGAGAAGATACACAAAAATGGTATGTCTGACATTATCTTTGGGTAAGAATTTTTAACTTGTTTTTATTTAAAAAAAAAAAAGACAAAGAGACATCTCCCATTCACAGGTTCATTTTTGCAAATATGTATCCTGCTGGATTTGGGCATCAAAAGCCAGGAACTCAGTCTGGTTTTCTCACGTGGGTAGCGAGGACCCAACTACCTGAGCCATCATTTACTGCCTCCCTGGCTGTGCATGAGCAGGAAGCTGGAACAGGGAACAGAGCCAGGACTGAGATCTGAGATGCTTGATTATATCAAATACTCGGCTCTGATGTGTGAAAAGGGAAAACGAATTTGGAAAACTTGATACAGTGAGATTAAATGGGAATATATTTACAAAAAAAATTCTGTTAGATGTCAAAAAAGAATATATAGAAGCAGCTAAAAATATAGGGAAATAAACAATGTCATTTTAAAGCATGAGAACTGAAAAGGGAAGGTGATATTATAATATTCATATTGTTGGATAAGAAGATATGTACAGTATATGGTGATTTTATATTGAATTGTATTTGATGACACACCACATCGGTACAAATGAGATCTCAACAAATACACGAGTGAAAGAATAAAAGAGAATATGCACTTCATAATACACATCAGTTCAAGCCATGCTGAAAAATTATACCAAATCTCAAATTTGTATTTTACTGCTGCTAGATTAGAATTTTAACACGTCCCTCCCCAGGGATCGAACTGCGCAGCTGCGACAGTGTGCCGGCCCTCCCCCCACTGCGCGATGTTCCGGGTCTCCTAGCGACTGAGTGTCAACAAAAAGCTGAAGCTTCAGAACTCGCTGGCCCAGGGGCCGCGGGCAGCATGGCCGATCGGAGGGCTCCACTTCGGCCCTTCGTACTGGAGCCATTGCCTCCAGGCATGACCTGCAAGCCCTGGTTCAAGGACAAACTACCTTCAAAGTGTCTGGCAAATCAGAAGAGCAATTTTCTGAAGTTCCCCACGTCTCTGGACAGCAGGAACTGGGTATTTGTGAGAGAGGGGCTCGACGACTTCCGCAATGGCTGTCCGCCATGCGACCACATGATCGCTCGTGGCCGGAAGGAGGCATTTCTCCCCATGATCTCTCACAAAGCTCCCCAACTTCCTCCCATCGAAAGAAAGCTGCCTAGAAAAGCAAGCCTGTTTTCCAAGTTGTCACAGGCTCAGCTGGCACGCAAGGCTTTTGTAGCAGCTGCAGAAACCAAACTGCAGAAGCATCCCTTAGCTCGCTATTCCAATCTGGAGGAATCCCTACCTCCGGATCTTTTATTGAAGGTGCTGGAGGAGCTGGATCCCGACAAGAAGCTGGAGGATGCTTGGGCTCATTGTGAAGGCAGGAAGGAAAAGCCCAAGGAGCCCACAAAGGCTTCTAAGCGCCGCACTTCAAAGGCTCGCCCGAAGACTCCCCCTCCCGAGACTTTTCCTGCAGCAGAACAGCCAAAAAAGTCACGTCGAAGGTCGAGTGTATATGCGTTGCGTGATCCGTCTATTCTCCGTAGATATGTCCCGAGAATGGTTCGCGACTTCTGCAAATGGGCTGCCGCTTCGGGATACCACCATGTCGATGAAGACTATGTGATGCAACAATTTACAATCAGCCATAAGTGGAAACCAGGCTTTCGTGACTACCACATGATGAAGGAAGAGGAGATTCATCCCGACCTCAAGTACAACATGGAACTCGATGAAACGGATGACATGAAATACATGCTAGACCACAAGGACTGGGAAAGTGAACTCAAGGAACCACCACAGTCTATCAGGTCTACCAGGGTAAAGATGAGGTATGGAGCATGGTACCTCAAGACCAGCTTGTGGAAAAAGCAAATGACTAACGAACCTTTGATCGACCCCAAGATCATCCTTGAAGCTGAACGGGAAAGAATGAAACCAGACGTCATTGACGATCTTTACGGAACAATTGCCTTCAAGGATTTCATTCTAAGCCGGGGCTACAGCATGCCCCACATTCTTGAGAAGTTGTTCACCAGGAAAGGATGGGATTATGAGGCTGTCAAGACTCCTATACCTAAAGTCATCAAAATTCACTTAAAACTAAGAGAGTTTACAGAGGAAGATGATATGACAATTGTCCACACAGGTTACTAGGCTGTTTTCTCTATCCCACTGAAAATACTTTGAAAATACATTGAAATATAAATTGAAAATACATTGAATTTATGACTGTCCTACCAAGAATGTACAACTTTGAAACCTGGGCAATTGTGTAAACTCAACATCCAGTACTTATTAAAATTTCTTAATGACCTCCCATTTCAGGCTCATCATTTAAAAAATACTCTTTTATCAACTATAATAACAACATTCACATACAGTTTATCTCATTTTGTGGAATTCTGACTATTGCATAATTACACCAAGTATTTGTAAAAAGAAAATAAAGCAGAATTTCTTAGAAAAGAAATGCTCTATTGATTATTTCTAGTTAGCTAAAACATGGGACCAATTTCATAATAATCACACTAAGGAAACATGAATACCTCCATGTAGATTAATGCATTAGCAAAATATTTTTTCCAAATTAAATAATTTTTAAATATTGCTTACATGGTCAAGAGGGATGCACGCCTATATGGGCCTCCAATTAGGGTGGTTAGTGTCAGGCATGGAGGAAGGTGGGAGGGACAGATATCCCACCTTTTTTGTTTCCTTCCTGTGTTCACACAGAAGAAGGGAGTGGAGTGTTTTTTGCTGTCAAACTACATCAGCATTTGCGGATAGCAGACAGTCCTTTGATGACGCCCTAGAGACCCCGATGTAGGGAGCGTGTTCCTAGGATGTTGAGTGGTTTTGATAGTTCTGAGAAATTGTTGACTTCATGGAAACAGGGTTGAGAAAATCTTCCTAAGGTCTACTGGTTAATAAAGTTCACTTCAGTGTATTTACAGACTCAGGAACATGCTGCGAGCTTGGCTGATAGGATTGTCCAACCTGTTCTGCTTTCTAGTCTCTGAGGAGGCAGTCGGTGTCCTTTGCTGGGCTAGATTAGCTTGCTGTCATGTCCCCCATGTGCATCTGGGCATGCTGTCCACTAAACAGGCATCAGCAACTGAGGAAGCCCAGTCCTGATACATGTACTCCAAGGCTGGATCACACATCCTGTGATTTTCCCTATAGCTGGGGACTGAGTCCAGCTCTCTAGCTGAAGCATCCACCAAGAAAACTTTCCTGGGGTGAACTCAGACTTGACTCTTGTGTATCCCAGCCAGTGCAGGATACAGTGCAGTCTACTACCTGCTCTAGTCAACACACATACTGGTGGATGCAGCTGCCTGATCAGTGCACCCCAGTCTCTATTCCACTCAAACCCATAGGTGCTATAGTCCAGCCTAGCCAGCCCACCACAGACCTGGTCCTCATGCATACCAATGGGTGCCACAGCCTAGTCAGGATGGCCCCCAATAACCTCCCCAGACCTACTTCCAACCCCAGTTCTTGCATGTGCTGCCATGTGCTGTGGCCCAGCCTACATCCCATTGGCTCTCTTGCACATCCACAGGCTCTGAGGCTTAGCTCAGTCTAAGCTGCCCCCAGATCCAGTCCTCACATTTGCCGACAGGTGCCACCATCCTGTCCGGCCTGGCCCACACCCAGTCCCAGCACTCATGCTCAACAGGGTAAGTACAGCCTGGTGGAGGAGCACCCACAATTTCCCTTCCAGGCATGCTCCCAGCTTTGGATTCTGTGCCCACCGGGGGCACCACGGTCCAGCCAGACATGACTTGCATCAAGTACTGACACTTGCCAGCTGGTAGTGTGCCCTAGTCCAGCCTGGCCCGCCCCCATTTCTGGCTCTCACACTGACGAGTGGAAGTAGCAACCAAGCAAGGGAGACCCTAAAGTTCCCCTACCAGGCCTGTTCCCAGCCCTAGGTTCTGTGCTTGGCAGCAGGTGCAGTGGCCCAGCCTGAGACAGTCTACCACTTATCTTGGCATTTGCCAACAGGTGCTAAAGCCTGGTTCACTTTGACCTACCTCCAGTTCTAGCTGTTGCAGCAGCCTAGCCTAGCCCATCTATATCCCTCATGTGAACTGGCAGGTGTTGTGGTCCAACCTGGCCTAGCCTGCACACCATCCTGGCTCTCACTTGTGCCAGTGTGTACTATGGACTGAGCCTGCCCAGCCCATATTCATACCTGGCTCACATGTATGCCAATGGGTGCTGTGGCCCACCTGGTGAAATGGCTGGCCCCCAGTCCTAGCACTCACTGGTGGGTACTGTAGCCTAGCCTGAACAGCTCATATACATTCCAGCTCTCACCAATAAGTGCTACAGCCCAGCACAGCCTGGCTCACCCCCAGACCTAGTTCTCAAGTGACCTGATGGGTGCTACAGCCTAGCCGTGTCTGTTCTACGGCCATTCTGGCTGTTGTGAGCACCAGCAGGTGCTGAAGCCTTGTCAAATCTGGCCTGCCCCCAAACCCAGCCCACACACATGCCGATTGGTGTTGCAACCTTGCCCATACTGGTTGGCCCACAACCCTAGCTCTTGCACTCACCACTGGAAGATGCAGCCCGGCAGGGGAGTCCCCAGAGTTTTCCTACCTGGCCCATTCCCAGCACCAGATCTTGCACATGCTCGCAGGTGTTGCAGCCTAGCCCAGCTTAGCATGGCTCACAACCTGTCCTGGCTCTGGTGTATGCCAGCAGGTAGTAAGGCCTGATCCCAGGCCGGTCTGTCCCAGACCTGGTCTACACAAATGCTGATGAGTGCTCCAGCCCTGCCTAGCCTGGCTGATCTCCAGGCCTGGCTTTTGCGCTCTAAAGCTAGAGTTGCTACCCAGTAGGGGAGTCACCTAAGTTCTATTAGGCCTGCCCTCACTCCTGGCCCTTGGATGTGCTGGGGATGTTGCAACCTGGCCCTGTCAGGCGTCCTCCCAGGCCCAGTTCCCTTGAGTATCATGTGGGTTCCTGTCAGACAAGTTCTGTGATCCAACCTGGCTCAGCCCATTATCACCCCCCAGTTCTCTGCACAAACCAGTGAGTGTTACAGTCCCATAGAGGTTAGCCTACAAATCCCCTACAGAATCTGCCCCCAGATCTAGTTTTCAGATATTCTGGTAGGTGCTGAGGTCCAGTCTCACATGGCCGATCCCCAGCTCCAACACTTGCAGGCAGGCACTGTGGCCTAGCCCAGTCATGCATGTCTCCAGCCCCAGCTTTTGCTCGTGCCAGTGGGTGGAAGGGAAGAATATTATTTGGCTTAGCCAAGGTCTCCTCCCACATAGGCAGGCGCCTTAGCCTAACCCAGAAATGTCCTCAGGTTTTCCAGCTCTAAACTACTCCATTTCGGCTCTCTCACTTATCTGCAAGTGCAATGGCCCGACCTATGAAAGACCCCAGAAGTTAAAGATGTCAAACATGCCCTCAGCTACTCCCTCTTTAATATATCCCCAGATCCCCTTTCCTATGTGGGGGTTAGAGTGGTGGTGTGTCCTGGGCCAGTATTCCCCACCCTCCAACTTCTCCACTTATCTAAAAAATGCCCACTGACCACCATCCACTGGCACACATTAAAGTTAGGGCTGGGGACCTACCTGGCAGGGCTAGACCACAGTACCCACCAGTGAGTATCAGAACAGGGAATGGTAATGTTAGGCTGGACCATGACAATAACCAGCAAAAGAGAGAACATGGGAGCAAATTCTGTGGGGGATATATGGGCTTATCTCTTTGGAATTGCAATAGCTGCTGGTTTGCTCAAGAGTTGGGGATAGTGACTGGCTGAGCTAGGCATGACATGAAAACCTCTGACATTCATGGGTATTAGGGTTGGGAACAGGCCAACCTGGTCCAGGCTGTAGCACCAGTAGGTGCTCCCAAGAATTGCATGTGGGATGTGGCCGGCCACAGCAACATGCACCAGCACATAAAGGCTGATACTGAACGGCGGAAATATGCCAGGTAAGGGCCTAGCATGTGCTGGCATGTGTGAGATCTGGGTCTGGGAGTGGTCCTGGTGAGAGAACTTGGAGAACTTACATGGTGGGCCATAGCCCCCACTGGTGAACAAGTGAGTCAGGGTTGGGTGTTGGGTCAAGCCAGGCAGGACTGCTTCACTTGTTGGCATGTGTGTGGGTTGGCTCTGTAAGGGTTGGACCGGGTAGGGCCAGGCCAAACAATAACACATTGGCATGTGAGTGAGCCAGAGATGCGGTGTGGGCCATGCCAAACTAGGCTAGGCAATCACACCTACCTGCATTAAAGAGCTAGGCTGCAGCATCTACTAGTGAGAAGTGGGACTGGGTTCAGGTCAGGCAAGGCCAGGCTGCAGTGTCTTATGACAAAGGCCAAGCTGGGGATAGTTTATGATGGTCTGGTTTGGAGCAACTACTGTCATGCAAAAGATCTGTGGCTGGGAGCAAGCTGGGTTGTGGAGCTAAGAGGATGCCCCAGCTGTGCTGTGGTCCCTACAAATAAGCATGAGAGCTAGAAAGCAGGTGGCAAAGTGGGCTGGACTTGGATGTAGCATCGCTTGGCATGGGTGTGGACTGGATCTAGGGTGTGCCATACTTGCCTAGGCTCCAACAACCTCTGGTGCTCACAAGTGTATGACAGGCTGGGCTAGGTCTCAGCATCCACTGAACCATGTGAAAGAGCTGAGTCTGGTGGTGGACCAGGTGTGGGTGGGCTGTAGCACCTAACAGTAAGAACTGGAATGGGAGTGGGCTGATTGGGCAAGGATGCTGTTCCTTCCAGGACAGGACGTGGGTTAAACCAGGGTTAACCCAGTGGAGTGCATGAGATCTACCATTGGGAAGTAACCTGATAGAGGAGCTTGGGGAACTCTGTCAGGATGTAGTCCCTGCAGGTGAGCACAAGAACCAAGCTGGGGGCAGTCCAGACCAAGCCCAGTTACAGTACCCATCAGCACATGTATTGGTCAGGTCTGGGGGAATAACCTGGCTGGGTCAGTTCATAGCACCCACTGGTAGATGTCAGAAACAGGATGGCATGCAAGATGGGCCGGACTGTGCCACAACACCAGCCAGTCCACATTAGGGCTGGAACTGGGGGTTGTCCAGACTGGACTAGTATCTGGCACCCACCAGCACGAGGTGCAACTGGGGCAGGCCAGGCTGAGCCAG